CGAAACCGTTCTGAATTTATTTGACCCCTAAACCGTTGGCGCACGGCAGGGAAAAGGTGAATTTAAATGTATTTATTTTTAGATAAACACACAGTGACTGAGAGAACTCGATTCGATTTACCGAAGAGTCTTGCATTATTAGCCGTAATAGTCACTGTTTACAACCTAACACTTCCTCCCCAGTGAGCTCAACCGAAATAAGTTTTTCAGGAGCATATATATTGTCATCCACAGACAGACTGTTTCGCTGTATCACAGCTCATCAGTATGGCTAGACGTTCGCTTGCCTCTAGACTAGGATCGAAACCCGTCTGATTTGGCGTCAGTCGGTGATTTTTACCCTGTCATTTATATATATATATATATATATATATATATATATATATATATATATATATATATATATATATATATATATATATATATATATATATATATATATATATATATATATATATATATATATATATATATATATATATATATATATATATATATATATATATATATATATATAAATATATATATATATATATATATCCGAAGTTCATGCTAGTAGCATATCAGATACATAATGGCTGAGAAATTAGGCTTTTAAAAACAAGGCAAACTCAGGCTCCTCCTGATAAACTCCCTAACCGATAAATGCAGATTTCAAACTACTCTTCAGAGTGAACAATATAGCAACATATTTAATATAATGTCGGTTTGTTCTTTTTCCTATATATATATATATATATATATATATATATATATATATATATATGAAGAAAAATATATGGAAAAACAAAAATCCGAATATGCAAATATGCTGTTTTAATGATATTTCAATGTCGACTTCAGACGTTTCGGTCTAGTAGACCTTCTTCAGGACATAGTTATTAAAACATTTTCGATTTTGATTCTGTGAAGATTTTAAAATATATTCATAATAAAAATCTTAGACGGATTTATGAGACAAGCATAATATCTATCTCACGCGCGGTGAATACTAGACCCGGCTTCTTTAATATTTCCCCTTTTCTAGCAAGATTAATGCTCGACAAACGTACTTATAAATTTTAGAATAAAATAAAATTCTTTTTCATTTTTCAGTTTCACTGTCTCTTTTGAAGGAATCGCTTTTTTTGCATTCATCGGTTAGGGAGTTTATCAGGAGGAGCCTTAGGTTGCCTTGTTTTTAAAAGCCTAATTTCTCAGGCATTAGGTATTTGATATGATCCTGGCTTGAATTAGTTTTTCGGAAAGTTGATGTCAGTTTCAAGGCTCCAAAAATTCAATCGTCTTATGTATGGTTGACTAATAAATGTTTGTATTGCGTTGTGTCCCTGTTTTTGGCTACTTTCGAACAAATTTTGATATATAAAACATCTGACAGATCAGAAATCTATTTCATTGAAAAATTAGGGTTCCCTGCCCCCAAACAAGGGCAAAAGTCCATGTAAACATATACCCGCAAAGGACATTTTGAACATTTTTTATAAGTCACTGTGTTGAGGTACCATGATGGCGTTTTGTACATATGTTTATATGGACATTTTTTCGTTTTTTGGTGGAAGGACCTCCCCCCTCTAGTGTTTGTAAATGTATTTTTGGATTTTACATTTAACAGCGTCTGCCTTAAACTTTAAACTTAACACAAAAACGAACGATTCGCGGATTCATTTTTATATCGAATTTTGACTTTGTTTTGGTGTGAAGGACCCACCTCCAAAGTTTGTAAAAGTATTTTTGTATATTTTTGGTTGACTGACGAACTAAACTCATTAGTCATTTATTGCCTCAGTTGCCTCGTTGGTAATCGGTATTTTATTTACCAAAGAAGAAATTCTAAAAGAATTTTCTTTTCAATAATCATAATGTAATAGAGTTCTATATAGATTTTGAGATACTTACATGAAATAAACTTTAGAGAAAAGGCGTCGTAAAATATTTTTGACATAACCTAATGCACAATAATAATATCAACCTGAATTGATCTAAAGAGCTTTTACAGCAGGAAATAGGTTTTGAAATAATGGTCTTTAAAAAAAAAAACGAAAATACTTTTGATACACCCCAGTACTTGTGTTTTTCATTTAACGTAAGTGTCAAAGGGAAAAACAGTTCGCGTTGGGGCTGAATTGTGTGCCTGCGTCAAAAGCTGAATGGCAGCAAAAAGAAATAATAGGTTGTCTCTAATTGCTTAGCAAACCCTCTGTAACATGTGGAGTATTTAATAAGGAAGGGAATGCCCCAGTACACGAGCTATGCAAACGCGAGTAACGTTAAGACTCCGATTGATAAATAACAAAAAACAAAATGGAGGCGAGAAGAAGGGAAGATAGATATTATAAAAAAAAAAGAAAAAAGAAACACAATGATGGGCGAGGGGGAAAAAAAGTCGGAACAAAAGCTCCATAAGGCAAGATGTTGAGAAAATGGTTGACGGTGGGTGGAGTGATGAGTTGACGTTATTGAAGAGAAAGAGAAGTTGAAGTCGTGGGGAGGAAAGAGCCATGAATGAATTGTCTTGTGACTAGATCAGATTTCCATCTTAAGTTCTGCTCATTGGCGCGCGAAATTAGCAACTAGTCAAGAAGAAATCACGCAACGATTCTCTCAATTTACGACAAGGGACTCTGATCACCAAATTCACCAGTCTCGTTTTTTCCTGGTCACACACACACACACACACACACACACACACACACACACACACACACACACACACACACACATATATATATATTTATACACATGTATAGAAAGAGAGACAGAAAAAGAAACGTTCTGGGATTTTGACCATGAAATCTCTGACGTTAATATCGAGTTTTCACTGTCTCTTTTGAAGGAATCGCTTTTGGTCATGTATCCAGTTATCACACGAAGAGAAGGGCCAACAAGACTGTATCAAGGTCGGTTTGTGTTATATGAGGCGTTACTGAAAAGTTCGCAGGTCGAGCCACTTCAGGAAATATGAACAAACAGCTGAATTTTTTTCGGGGTAAAGAAAGTTTTGGTTGAACCGAGAATTTCCAAACATTCTGTCATATCTTCATACTTGCTGAACTTATATACTGGGTTCGATGGGTAAAAGGTCGCCATTTTATATTTTTAATTTCGCGCATGCGCGTTGTTCATCTTTGATTTTTTTTTCGATTGCACAGTATAGTAGGGTCAGCTGGGCATCGTCTGTGAGAAAAAGAGCACCATGACACAATTCACTCTGCCAGAAATTTGGAAACGGTATGCAGTACTGCTTGGCATTGGCACCGGAAGCTCCATTATGAACATTTCAGAGTGTTTGGGTGTCAATCTGAGGACGGTGTAGAGAATTCGAAAAGAGTTGGATGAGTCTAATGGTGACTACGAAGGTACGGCTGCTCGGAAAATTCACACTGGTCGTTCTGATGAAGAAAGAACTCCCGGATTTGTTGGTGAGTGTCTCAGATTCAACATGGATGCATACATCAAGTTCCTTCAGAAGGTAGTGCTGCCCTGGGTCAAGAGGGTGGCTGCTGGAAGACCCTATGTCTGGCAACAAGACTTTGCACCATGCCACACAAGCAGGAGAACCCAGTCATGGTTCTCAGACAATTTCTGAGACCATTTCACCTCTTAATCTTTATAGCGAAGAAAACGGCAACTTACCTCGTCAAACCAAGCGACAGCGCGTTGCGTGTATCCTACGACGGAAAAGAAAATTACTTACAAATAAAAGGACACGTATTCCGCATGACATGCTGAAGACGGAATATTTAGATTAAAAAAAAAAAAAACAAGTCCGTCGCATGAGTCCCTATTAAAATTATTTTGATATGCAAAATTTGGCGTCCAATCTACCCTGTTAAAGTATGGGAAAAGAAATGGGTTCATGCCTTTCACAATTTTTATAGTGAAACACACCTATTTTATAGTTAATAGACTCTCCCACCTAATATAAGTAGGAGTAGTAAGAGAAACGAAGGTCACTCGATGTCGGACGACCGGCTGATCGGTTGAACTCTCTGCCTTCCTAACTTTTTGTACGTCGAACCCATTTTAGGACCGATTTAGTACAAATACAAGCCTACACTGCGAAATAACTCCACAACAACAATATAATTTGTGCAAAAGTGAATGCAACGGACTGGGCTGGAATTTGAATCTGGATAGGCATAAATAAAGAAAATACTCGGACGATAAAAGCAGTTGGAAAATTGATGTATTTTGACTACCACGTTTGTCGGAGAGTGAGTTATTTTTCTGACTGGTTACGTGCATTGGGATTTGTGAGATAATACCTGCGAATCGAGTTTTCGGCATTTCTTTCTGTCCTCGATGTTCGAGTCTGAACTTACAGTGATTTATTCTCTGCGTTGTTGAACTAATCTGCGACAAATATTTCCTTTGCTTTCAGAACGCTTACAATCTAGTCACGTAACTCCCCGGACTGCAACCTCACGCCCTTGAGCAAGAAACCAACAAAACTCCTTGTAACACCAAAGGTTAACTGAAGGTAAGGATTATGGCAGCGTCAACACCTTAAACAAGGAGACCATCCGGAAGAGTTGCAGGTAATTCTGAAGTCGTCTGGAGGCCGTGGTTGAAACCAATGGCGATTTTATTGAATAAATTTACTCTTTAGTATTTAAAGATATTTTGGTGTCATTTTGATAAATATATCTGTTAAAATGAGGCGTCAGTGTTATTTTCATTTTTGCATAATTTAGACATTTTTTCCATCGTACTATGTAAATAGTGGAGAAAAACACAACACATATGGCCTGAAGGATGCATTTAAGGATGGAACAAACTGCTCCCCTCTGAGGATTGACTTCAAAATCGACTTTTACAAGTGCTCTATCCCTGATATTGACCACTGTAACCCAGAAATATGGCATACCATAAAACTATATTTCTATCATATATAGAGGTTTCTATCATATGTAGATGTTTCTATCATATGTAGAGGTTCGCAAAGAAGGTTTTCTCGGTATCATATTCACAAATTTCTCAGTTCCCTTCTTAATCATACCAAGTGCTCCTAACATTACAGGGATAACAGTTGCTCTAAGATGTACGCGTGATGTAATGGATATCGGCCTGGAATGAGAAATTGTTGAGATGTTGAGTGTTTCCCCGTGCGTATATTGAAATAAGGACAAACACATACGTAGGGAAAAATACTGGTATATCTGAAGAGGTATTTACAACAGAGAGATTAGTAGTCAACCGAACGCAGGTTAGTCAGTAACAATCAGAAAGAGTATAAAGTCGAACTGTATCTTCCGGTAGAGAGACGGAAGTGTGATGGTCACCTGATCTTCCCAGAACTCTATAGAACTGTCCTATTAGTAGTAGAGAGATCAGTCCATTCTGATGAGAAGAAATCGTAGTTCGAATTCCAGTCGAGTTATGCACAAATATTGTTGGGGAAAGTAAGAATCTATCTCTTCTCCTCCAGCTATGAGCAAAATAGCAGAACAGACTGTCTCCTATAGCCTTGATTGGCAACCAGTCTAATGCATAAAGAAATGGCATCTTACTGCAGGAAAATCTTTTGCCTAATCAGTCATGAATCGAAAGAGACATGATCGTCTAAGCGTCTATCATATATAGCACTGAACTGAAGTTGTTCTAAGATGCCAGATTGTTTTTAATTTCTATTTGTAGGTATTGTATTTGCTCAACTTACCTGAATTCTTTGAAAGAAATATTGTGATTGTATGGTACATTCATGTCAATCATCAGAAAACTCTATTTTAGTGATCTTCGACAATTATTGATTTCACTGTCCATAGGAATTTTTCCCGGTTGTGTTCGTGTTCCTGTTTGCTCGGCAATGAAAGTGGAGTGAACAAAACCCAAGGTTCGAAATAACTGCTCAACAGCTTTTATTTCTGGTTGTAAGAGAGTGCATAATAGTGGTACTTTGCTAGAAACAAGTGGGGTTTCTCAGTTAACAAAGTTCTTAAGTAGATGTTTTGTTGAGAGAGATTTATCCGTTTGTTTCGACAGGAGCAACGAGAAATCTGAGTGTGAATCTGCTAAGACTCGTACGAGTTTTCTGCAGTAAGGGTTATGCGTAGTTTTTCCTTTGGGTAGGTGTCTCGAAGGTAAGAACGAGAAATCTGAAGTCAAACTGCCAGGACAGGCCTCGTCTTCTGCAGCAAGGGTTGAGCAGCCCTTTGAGCTAGGCTTGAAGGTTGCGGTCAAGAAAACGTTGAAAAGAAACTGAATAGGACACATTCAGGGATTTTATGACCTGGGACTTTCACTTGCACTCTGTTGATTAGTTCCGTTGGGACCACTGCTGAAACGAGCAAAGGAAGAATGCCCCCCCCCAAATGCCACAATAGCCAACAACTGAGTTAGTTTCTATATGTCCGATCTGTGTTCGCCAGCAGGTCACATAAAATAGTTATTTCTTTCATAGGTTACAGGTTTAGGATGATGTTTGTACCACTTATGTTAAGTTTTAAATTTGTATTGCCTGCAAATTACCCAATGTAAGTAATGACCTATTCTCTCGGGTCGGATTTTGTATTCTTCCAACATCTAACATCCTGCCATTTTGAATCAGTTCCGTTTTTAATATCATTAAATTGATAGTTGCAGGTCTTGTGCGGCTATAATGAATACTTCACTTCACTACATAAACTTGCTTACTAGGGGAGAACATATTATTATTATTATTATTATTATTATTATTATTATTATTATGTCCGTTGATTGTTTTTGTATACATATTTTCTTCAGGGTCCCAATCAGAGACCTAAGGTCAGAAATGGCTTCATGATATTTTCCAATGAGCATTTTTCTAAAAAACACCCTCACACACATTTTACATAGATAAAGCTCTTCATAATGTGTGAGCTGTATTTTCGAATAGAGTGTTTTGTATTTTTTTTAAGGCATCGGCTACCAGTAACCCATTCACTGAGGATATCGTAACGTTTTCCAATCAATCGGAGGACACCAGCTAAAAGTAGAATTATTGGTCTCCTCTTGTGCCACAGTTCTGAGATCTCCACTTCAAGGTCCTTGTATTTTCATAGTTTTTTTTTGAAGATCTTCAAAGGTACATTACAATCTGCAGGGACTACCATGTCAATAAGAAAGCGTATTCTCTTCTTGTGATCTTTGATCATGATGTCTGGCCGATTAGGTTTGGTTGTTATGTCTGTGACTATTATATATTCCTATAAAATTGTTACAGGCCCTGTTTCTGTAACCTGGGTGATTTTCATACCAGTTTCTTGCAGTTTCCTTCCCGTAAAAGTTGCATATTTTCCAGTGCAGATATTAGCCCACTCTATCATGCCGAGTTTTATATTCAGTAGCTGCTAACTCTGCAACCTGATACAAGATGGCCAATTGTTTTTTGGATATTTATTTTCACGGAATCTGCATTTGAGGTAAACACAATTTTTTAGTATGTGCGCTTGGTAATTTCTAGTTAACAAGCATTGGTCCTGTGCAGCAAGAATAAAAACCTTCGGTTTCAGCTTTTACCGCTGCACTACGTAAATATTG